CAACTGCTCTATTAAAAAACCTTCGACATAGTTTACCCCTAACACTGGCTATCACCACGTAATACAAAGAAATCGAAATAGGATCTCTCTCTTTTTCCCACAGAGCTACAAAGAATCTTGAGGCTATGCATTCGCTAAAACATATAATTCAATAGTCAAAAATATAAGTTTGAATACACCTTCAACTGGACTCAAATCACTATATGTGATCCCGCTTATACATACTTGCACCTTGGCAGTGCATAAATTGATACATAGAATAACAGTTCATCTCATTTTTTTCTTCCTTATTATGTTAAATTGGTACTTTACTGATAGCTATCTGAATGATCTACTGATAAACTATGGATCCACAATTAACTTCTAATGTAGCACATTTTTTGTACTGCTGTATTGTATCTTAATTTTAATTATTATTATTTTTTAATTCAGGGCGGATGAGGAACCTGTTGATACAAAGAAGTATCTTGAAGAGGCTTGCAAGCCGAAGTGTGTGAGACCTTTACTCGACTATAAGGTGATTTTTGATAAACTATCAACTAAAATTTCTATTGCATTTCCAAAAGTTCACTCACACACACACACACACACACACATATATATATATTCTTGCTTACAATGTTTGTAGTGCCTTGTCAAAAAATGTGTTTGTTCTCAGTTATCACTTGTGACGGAATCGGTTGTTGTTTGAGCATCCTGTGAATTGTGTTTTACATTGCAGTTTAGCTTTAAAGATGCAGGTTGTTGTGCAATAGGTGGGCATACTATTATATACTATCGAGGTTGTCAATTGGAATCCTAGAATGCCTGAATAGTTTATATAAATGTTAAAGAATAAGAAGCATGCCGTTCATATTCAGTTAAACCTAACAGAAACTTTAGAAAATATGTAAACTGGAATGAATTTGTTCTGTGTTCATGGGATTGAAATATTGTGTTGCTTTGATTCTGTGGTATGTTACATCAGTATAAAGTTTGGCTGCATCATTATTATGGGTGTGTATTGGCCTAGCCAAGTGTTGGACTGTTCAACCTAGGGATGGCAAAATCCCCAAACCCGACGGGTCCCCGCCCCGCCCGCCCCGTTTAGGGCGGGTTTGGGGACTCTTTGATTTAAATGGGGATGGGGGTAATTTTTGAAACCCTGAACGGGGTGGGGATACCCGCCTTGCCCCGTTTAGGGTGTACATTTACTAAAATACCTTTATATATTATGATATATTACTAAATTAGATTAAGTATAGATAAACACACTTAAGAAAAATTATAACTTGGTTGTGTTGAATCTTGGAATTTGAGAATAAGAAAAATTATGTGCTAAAAAAAATTATAGTGTGTGTTAATCGGTTATGAGGGTGGGGTGTGGGCGGGTATGAGGATGGGGATGGGGCTGAAATTTTAAACGGGGATGGGGGTGGGGGTGGGGATGGGGATGAAAAAATTCACTGGGTATGGGGATGGGGAATGAGATCCCCACCCCGCCCCATTGCCATCCCTAGTTAAACCTCAGCTTAGTGCAATTTGAATTTGGGCCTAACTCGCCTGATGAAGCCTGGTACTCATTTTACACAGAACTTAAGCTTGTTTTTAAACCTAACAGAGCTTATTTAAACAAATCAAAATCTTTTTCTTTTTTAGGTAAGATAAATAGTATAAATGAGAGAGGAATGTACAAACATGTCACAGAGGCAACAATCAGGTCTTAATCCATATGAAAACTTGGCCAGGAGGCCCAAACATCCAGAAAAGATGAACCAAAAAAGGCAAAGCCCATAAGAATTGCCAAGGGAAGTGGGGAATCCATCAATCTGGAGGTCTGGTGTAGTGTCGGATAAAGGAGCTGGGAAGCATCCAAGAGGAGGTAATATCTCTGGCAAGCTTGCTATCCTTTATCTCAAGGACATGAGATGGCATCAACTTATCTGTGATAGGATGAATGAGAGAATCTGCAGTAGAGGGAGAAATTTTGAACACTATTTGATTCCTCCCTTTCTAAATTGTATAAACGCAGCTTGCAAGTGCAATCATATGATCTGTGAAAGATTGGGATGTACTTCTCCAGTTGAGAGAGGTCCAAGAGATCAAGGAACTCCAGTTAGTTTGTTAAATATGGAAACCATGAAGATGCTGGAAGTGTTCGCAGATGACACAGGAGAATGGCACTGGAACAACAGGAGGGTGTGAGATTCTGCAGCTTGAAGACAGAGGGAGCAAGAGTTTGGAATATGCGGGTAAGCCTTAGCAGTTTGGTCTTTGGTGGGTAGACAACCATGATAGCAATTCAAAGGATCATATTATGTCTAGGGATATAAGGCCTGCTCGGAACTAGGTGGAATTATTCAGTAGTGTGGTAAGTTGGGTTCTGGAAAGCCAAAGTGTGGAAACAGAGAAGGACAAGGAAGGAGATACTATCTATGTAACAATGTCTTCTCTATCGGGGTTAATTGGAGGGAGGGAAGAGGGAGATAAATCAGAAATGGCTGACGGAAACTCAAGCTCAATACACTAGTCAGTAAAACGAAAAAAGACAATCTCAGAACTCCAGTGTCTTCCTTGAATAATAGAACTGACAATCATAAGTTGGTGTGTGGGAGAGTTAACCCATTGATTGGCTTCAGCTTTGAGGTGCAAGAGGTCCATTGGAGAACCAATTATCAAACCATAGAAGAGTTCTCTCTCCATTATGGATATTAAATTTGACATAAGCTATTGCAACTTGACAAATTTCCCCTGGAACGTATTCTGTTGTCATAATTGATAAGCCTCTATCTATTTATGAATTTATGGTGAAAAAACTGAGTTTTATTGAAAGCCAGCTATATGGTGCAAAACATTTTTGAATAGCATGCACTGCTTGAGTCATTGTGGAACTGATATCCAATATAAGCAGTTGTTGCATAGCAAAAAAGTGTTTTGAGCAGATTCCTCCTTTGTAATAGAATTTGCACAGTAGTACGATATCAAGGCTTATTGTATTTGATGGAGTTGTGTAATTACTTCTGAAGTGTTTATTTAATATATATAAATCAGTGAAAAGGATTATCATTACTATTGCATTGTACCTATTTAGACTATTCATAACCCTAATTTAACCAAATGCAGTGTTATTCTAGGCTTGTTAATCAATCGAGATAAAAAATAAACTTGAGCTTTTGCCTATTTAATAGTTAAAAAAATTGCAAAAATTCAAGCCTGAAATTTTCATGTGCAGCTTGATTCAATTGTCGTCTATGATTATTGCCTTTATTTTGTTTTCATGATATCCAGTTGTCTCTACATTCCCGGGGTAATGATGTCTAATTTCCTGTAGGCATGTATTGAAAGAATCCATGGCGATGCAACTGGGAACAAGCACTGCACTGGACAATATTTTGATTATTGGTCTTGTGTTGACAAATGCGTAAGCCGTCTTTCTTTCCTTTTCTTAATTGCAATTTTGGCAAATTTATTCGATTTACGGCTCCGGATTTGCTTCTGAAACCACTATACTGTAACACAGGTGGCGCCCAAGTTATTCACAACATTGAAGTAATGGTGAAATATTTGTAACTTCACGTTTGCTATGTTGTTATTCAACCAGACAGTCATGGACTCTTTCTCCTTATTACAGACTTCCAAATGCTTGTATGGTACTTCTCCTTTGCTACATGAAGATTTTGAACTATTGAGACTTTCAAGTCAATAAAAGTGGATTTCTGTATGGTTTAAATTTGTTCCCTTTGAACATTCATTAATATTATATTTCAATGTTTTTAGTTTCATGATGAACAGCTTGATTAGCTTACATTTTTTTTATTCTTTTCCCTCAGAAATTTGATTAGCTTACTTTAACAAATTAAAAGCAGGAGGTTCAATCAAGCAGTTATTCTGGAACACTTGATTAAATAAAGATATTAGAATTAATTAATGTTCTTTTTCTTACTTTTGTTCATAACAATATAAAACGAATGAAAAACACATTCATTTTTTTTTTTTTCAATTCAAAATGATTTCGTTCCACTCCTCCACAGACAAACAACTTATTATCTGTATAGTAACGACGACGCATGCTATTTTGGAGGGGCTAAAGCTTTGGGCCTGTCGTTTTCTAATTGCTTCTGTTGGGCTCTGCCTAGTTTGGGCTTTGCCTCTGAGTTGACTTAACCGGTCCTCTTCCAAATTGCTTAATTTTTCACCTAAAAGGAGCTATCGACCAATCAATAGAAGAGGACAAAATAAAAAAGTTTATTTACTACTATGAAAAGTAGTTTAATTTGGATCCTCTTCAATTCTCACTGTGCGAGTATCTCCAATTTTTCATCCAATAATAAAAAAATGCGTCACACATTTAAAAAAAAAAAAAAAATTTTTTTTTATAAGTATCTGCAATGTTTTGGTTTCATACCCAACTTAATTCAAACAAGATGGTAATTTGGTATTTTTGCATCAGTTAGATATATATTTGGAAATACTGGGAGATAATATATTTTTTTTTTTTGAAGATAATCCATTCATCATAATTTTGAGTTATGACCAAATAATAGAAACAGCAGTTGTCTCAGAAGCGTGCGGTACAAATCGATGAAACCTTCCATTAATTTCCTTTTTTAAACTATAAAGAATGCAATATTATAACCTAGACTTGCTCAATCTCGATGGACAATAATTTCGAATGAATTTATCCTTGTAGAAGGTTATAATAATATTACTATATATATATCTTCATAATAACTCAATTTTTTTTTGAATTATACTTAATTCATAAATAATTTGATTGGTTTATATTACTTACATTCAAATCAAGCCATCTTAATTTATACCAAATCAGCCCATTTGAAAAGCAATTTTCTATTCAAAAATAAAGTTTAATTATTTTATTTCTTTTTACAAGTGTGAACGCATCAGATCCCTTGAAAGTCGAAACAATACTGTGGCCACACTTTGCCAAATGCCCATCTTCTCCTCCTCCTATATATTGGGGGCGTGTGTCCTCCACACTTCTTCACATAAACAATCTCTCTCTCTCTCTCTCTCTCTCTCAGAGACACACCCCCATATTCTTCTCTTTGATTCCTAGCTGCTGCTTCTTCTCCTTCTTTCATGGCAAATACCAACCAAACTACTGAACCGCAACCATCCTTAAATGAAATGAAACTTTCAATCCCAACCATGCATGGAGTGGAGGAGGTGGAGGTGGAGGTTTTTGACTACTCTAAAAGAGCACAGTGGCTTAGAGCCGCCGTGTTGGGCGCCAACGATGGTCTTCTCTCAACGGCATCACTTATGATGGGAGTTGGGGCGGTCCGGGATGATGTAAAGACCATGATCCTCACCGGGATTGCCGGGTTGGTGGCCGGAGCTTGTAGTATGGCCATCGGAGAGTTTGTGTCCGTGTACTCGCAGTATGACATAGAAATGGCTCAAATGAAGAGAGAGAACAATATTATGAGTAGAAATGCCTTGGAGGACAAGAAAAGGGGCTTGCCGGACCCTCTCCGGGCGGCAGCCGCGTCCTCCTTGTCGTTCGCGGTGGGGGCGGTGGTGCCACTGCTTGCGGCGGCGTTCGTGAAGGACTATAAGCTGAGGTTGGGGTTGGTGGTAGGGAACGTGAGTTTTGCACTGTTAGGGTTTGGAGGGTTGGGTGCAGTGATGGGAGGGTCACCTGTGGTGAAGTCGTCATTGAGGGTTTTGGTTGGGGGTTGGCTTGCAATGGGTCTCACTTTTGGCTTAACCAAATTGGTTGGTTCTACTGGAATGTGACTGTATTATTGGTAACATATTTGTGATCATGTGTTAGGGTTTTATTTTATTTTTTTCTTTTTGTGGGTATTTCTGTAATTTTCTTTTTGTCGTACTTTGATCCCTTTTTTATTTTTTATTTTCATTATGAGCTTTGGAGATGCCAAAAAAAGTTATTGAAATTAAACAAGATTACGTTAATTTTGCTTTTTTATTAATCTTCAATATGAGCTTTCTCACACGTGCACACACTAATTAGGAAGGTGTGCCCCGTTTTGTTCTCGAAGGTACAGTGTACAGACTGTCATTTTCTTTTATTGTGTATTATATCATAATGTAAAAAATTAAATAAAATTGACACATTCACAAATGTATGGTATTGTGTAAAAAAATTATCAGAAAGAAGAACAAGAAAAAAATGCATATTAGCTTTCTCCATAATATACATTCTCTCATTTTCACAATCATTCTCATAAATTTTAACCATGAATTTATTTATGGAGTTGTAACAATTCTTTTGAACCCAAATATTATTAATTACTTAAATGAGTGTGAGAGCGTATTTTTTGATAAGATTAAAAAAAAAAAAAAATTAAATTGTATTCCAATTGCGCCCCATGATAGGCATTTGTGAGTGTGTTAGTACTTACGTACCTAACCAAAAAAAAAAAAAATTCTATCTCAATTGCGTTTGCTACAAGTCAATATTGCGGGTATGATAAAAATATATATCATGAGTCACGCCTCAAAAAAAAAGTATGAATTAACCTTCACTAGGAAGTTTTTTTTCATAGAATAATTACCTCTTTGAGCCATGATTCGGCAATATATATATATATATATATATATATATATATATATATCTTGTGGTGGAAAACTCTTCCACTTTTAATTATCGAAAAAAAGAGAGACTATGTATACATATTTTGAGGTGCCTTTTGGCATCACGTGTGTGTGTATATATATATGCTTTTCCGAGAAGATTAGGAGGTTATGACCCTACCAACCATAGCCGTACCTCTTAAAAGTTAAAAAAAGGGGGCGCAGCGGACATCTACATGCATTGAGTATCATTAGGCATTGATGCCATATATATAATTTATTTTATTTTATTTTTTTTCACACACAAATACATAAATAACTTGTGAACGTTGGAGTTTCAAGCTTATTAAATATTATATAGTTGTTATTAGTCTCTGTCTGGTTTTTCAAATAAGGAATTGGTGGTTCTGTGCAGCTAGAAAATGATCCATGGGAACACTTTTACTTAACGTCATACTAATGTCCGTGTTATTTCAAGTAAAACTTAAATTGGTAGAAGGCAGTGTAGTATTTTGAGGTTATTAGCAATTTTTCTATGTGAGAAATTGATCTATATTTATAGTATTAAAATAAATCTATGGCAAAGTATATTTCATGTTCACTTTAATTTTAATTTTCAGAATGCAAGTAAAAAAAAATATACAAATGAAATTTATACAAAAGAAAGATGATTTTGCCACATCAATGGCTAGAATTTAATAATGAAAATAGGCCACCAGTGAATTCTTAAATAAATTGTTTCTTTTGGCCCAAATCTACCAGCTAAATAATTATAACATAGATTCATTTTGTCATTGACCAGATGGCAGCACTACTGCATACAAATTTCAAAACCAGTTGAGATACATGCATATGGTGTTGTATATATATTGGTTGAAATATCATATATATATATATATATATATATATATATATATATATATATAAATATATCATTTTATATTTGTATAAAAAATGGGATTGCAGATTTATCAGTTATTTTACTTAGGGGAGTGTGGCATCCACAAGAAAGCCACATTATATTATATTATTCAGATTTCAGATCAATCCAATATTGTCATCAATTTCAAGTTTTTAATTAGCAATTCATGGTCTAAAGTCTAAGCAAAGACAATGACACCATGTATGTGTATGGTAATAATAAAGAGGAAAAAAAAAAACTGATATTTGATTGCCCCATTTTTAGTATATTGAATCTTTTTTATTATTTGTATAAGCTCTCGCGCGCGCGGGTGTGTGAAAGTTGTAGCAATACGGTTCAAAGTTAAAGGAAAAATCTTATTTTTCTAAAATTTTCAATTAAAAATTATTTAAAGAAAGTACTTGATTTAAAGGAATAAGTTTTAGTATTTTGGAATAATTGTTTTGAGGGCATTTTGGACCTCAATAATAGTTATTGATACATATGTAATTATTTTACTTATTTCAACAAAAGTGAAAAATGAGCTATTAAAATAAATCGTTCTATTATTTATGTCTCTTAACTCTATGTAAGTGTAGTTTTTTCTATTTATCAACTCACCATTTTTTTTAACCTTTTTAAAATTTTTAATTTTTAATTTTTTATAGTATTTTTGAAATTTGCATTTTCACATTATACTTTTATAGTTGCCTGAATTAACTATTTTTTTTTTTTTTTTTTTTTCATGATCTCGCTCAATTAAATTAATACATTCTCATTTTGAAGCATAATTACTAAGCCTTTTTTTTTTTTTTTTATAATTTTTTTTTTTTTATAAGGATAGCGATTTAAATTTCATGAATTTATTAATTGTAATCAATGGTCTTCAAAATTTCAATAAAACCCACTAAAATTCGCCCAAAATTCAATTCTATTAAACTATGGTATAAAAAATTGTGAATCAGTTAGAAAAAAAAAAAATTCCATGACCGTAAGGACCCATTCTGTTACGTTGTATCTATACAAGTTCGATTATATTATATTATGTTCATGACTACGATTGTGAACCTTGTTTTGAACTGTTAGATATCCATTTCTCTTACCTAAATGTGATATTTTGATAGCCAACGGCGGCACCAACATGAGTCCGACTCGATATTTGGATTGGTTTGAAATTATTATTTTTTATTTTAATTGTTGTAGGTTCAAATTTAAGCCTTAACAAAGATGTTGTGGTATTAGGGTCTAATTTGTTATTATAAAAACATGGGTTAACTGCAAAAATAATTCCTCAGTATACAAAAAATGTGCAAGAATCATTCAAAAATGTATATAACTTCCTATATTATTCGTCTTTTCAGCAAATTGCCCACTAATCATATTTTGACCAAATATTTTATAAAAATCTCAAAATACCGTAAGTGTTGATGTAAGAAATAAAAAATTAGTTTCTCTCCTTTCTCTCTCCTCAGATTCTGTCTCTACGCATAGCTCATCGAACATTTTCACGAGGCTCCGGCGGTAATCATTTATGCCAAAAATTCACTACTTTTACCAAAAATTATGAGTTCCAATAGTTAGCAAATTGCTCGAAAAGTAATGCAAAATTTCTTGGATATGTATATATAAAATGAACCCAACACCAACCTGTGAGCTTTAGAATGGCGACCAAACATACAAAATATATTTATACAGACACACGTATACATATAAGTATTAGATACAAATACATTGATATATCTGAAAACTTGATGGACTTATTTCAAATTCTATAGGAACTAAATATATACAATGTAACAATTCAATATTCAGTGGCCACTAGAAAAGAAATTATTCTTCTTAAATCTATACTTAAACTTTCTATGTAGGGTGGTTTCACCGGAATTGTAATTATGTTTCTTCTGCTAGAACAGACATTTGCATTCTCTTGGGCTACTTATATGGGCTTCTATGTAAGTTGCTTGGGCCAAAGGCCTTGTATGTTACCCCTTTTGAGCTCTATTTATACAATTGAATTTATCATTTAAAAAAATAAAAATAAAAAGAAAAATGCTTAAACTTTCACATTTTTTAAATGTTGTCCAATGGCCAAACCCACCATGTAATTAACCAACCATAGATAGAATTATACAAGAATTCACAAATAATACTTACATAAATTTGTCTTCATCTACAAGACCTATCTTCATTTACAAAATTAATTCATTTCACAAATTAACCACACACAGTACCGTGAGTTTCAGATGACCCATATCACTTGCTCTACCAAAATCATTTAACCCTTATACTCAATATTATATATATATATATATAAAACTCAAAATCTACCATCATTAAACCAAAAATATATATAGAGAGCGCATCGGTGGCTGCCGGTGGTTGTGGTGACGGGTAAACATAGAGAGCAGGGATCAAGAGAAGGGCTGGTTTTTGGTGGTGCTGTGGCGGGCGGTGGTTGAGGTGATGCTCTAGCCGGCTGATTCTGATGATGGGCAGTGATTGAGAGATGGTGGGGGAGGAGGGTAGGTTTTTTAAATTACTAATATGTCCATTTTTTTTATGATGTGGCAGGTTTTAATGATTTTTTTTTTTTTTTGTCCGGAAAAAGGTGGAGACAATTTCATCAACCCCGTGAAAACATTTTCCTATACTATTTGTTATTTTATTTTATTATAAAGGTACATTAGTCAATTCGTGATTTAATTTCTTCAAAAGTCCTTATTTGCACCCATCCGAAATTGTAGGAGAGTTTATTGAACAGAAGGGAGATAATTACACATTTTTGTATATACTGAGGAGGATTTTTGCACTTAATCTTAAAAACATTAATAATTCCATTTTTACACAATCAATCTAAATTTTAAAAATTGTTAAGTTTAAGATTGGCTCGAATTGAACTCACAAATGAGTACAAATGATTGAGGTAATGCTCAAATTATCCCTCAACTTATCCAAAATTCTAATATACTCGAGTTACATCCCTGAGCGTATCACTATTTTTTTTGTTTTTTATTTAAAAAAACACTCCTTCCATATTATCCATTTTTATTTTGAAAAAAAATATTTAGTTTCACACATTAGAAAACCTCCTCTACAGAATTGGTGTGACACAATAATAAAATGGCACATATTCATTTAAAATATATATAAAAAAATTACTCATCTTTTCTTTTTGCACTTATATTCAATCTGAAATCCCAAGGAGAGGGATCGGCTGTCGCCATTACCCTACAATGGTAGGGCCACATATCCTGGAAAAGGATCATTTTCAGCGATGGAGGGGTCCTGCACTGTATCCAGTGGTTGAGAATATTATATCATTACTAGTGGGTCTCATTTATTAATTAAATCTCAATCACGAGATACACTGCAGGACCCCTCCAGCGTTGGAGAGGATCCTTGTCCCACATGCCCTATCTCCTTTTGAAAGCTTCCAATCTCGAATAAAGATAAATATTCTATAAATTAAAACAAAATATGTATCATTATATTATG